TCAAAGAACGCGATGGAACCGACGACCAGGTTGTGGAGCGTAGCTGGAATAAAGATGAGCTTAGCACGTCAGGTACTTTTATCTCTTTTTTTGAATTCAGAATCCTATCATCACTATCGTCTGCGTCTCTTATCACTTTTTGTTATTCTATTTGTCCCAAAAAATACTTCCAATGAAAATTTCTTAAAGTAATACCAGACGATGGCGGNGAGGCGTCGTTCTATTAGAGGTTTTACGGTATTTGGGGAAATTCTTATACAACCAAAATTCTTATGCACCAACTTTGAGCCAATTTATCTCGGTTCGTGTAAAAAATATCAAAAAGTAGTCAACTAACAAAATATTTATCATATCGCCGAAAATATTTTATCGGTTGACCACTTTTTGGTGCCTTTGTTAGGAACTGAGATAAAGTGGCCTAAAAGTGCACAACTGATAAAATATTTATCATATTGTCGGAAATGTTTTATTAAGTTAACAATTTTTGATATCTTTTTTAGGAATCGAGATATATTGACCTAAAGTTGACGATCTTTGAAATGCTATATCACTGGATCAATGGGCTACAATGAATATTTTCGTAGAGGTTTTTTTTTCAAATACCAAGGTTTAATAATTTTAGCTTCCAAGGTTTGTCAAGATTAGTTTCAAGATGGCTTGACAAATAATGTAATGACAAGAAATCGAAGTTTATATTTGTGTCTACCTAATTTATTGTTGTCGAAACAGTGAACTTTCGGAAATGGCAGCATAAACTTTAACAAAATTTATCTCGGTTTCTTTTAGATATACCAAGAAGTATTCTTCTGATAAAATGGTAATCATAATGTCGAAAATCTTTTATCAATTGACCACTTTTTGATACCTTTTACAGGATCTGAGATAAATGGGCTCAAAGTTAAAACCCTTCATTTTGAAATTAAACATTTTGAAAGCTTGGTGTAAAGCTCCATCCAGTAACGGCACCATTGAAGTTCAAAATATGCCCTAAATGATCTGAAAAGTCTGAAACAGCAAATTTTGGTTTTCGAAAAAAAAAGTTCCAGAAAACGTGTCAAAGTGCATGTAACTGAATCTAATGGGGAAAAACAGGAGACTGTAACAGTGAAAATTTTCAGAGAGAGAACTTTAGTTATAAACTCATAGAACAACATTTTTAAGATTGGAATCGCAACAACACTAGAACTGCTGTCTTTGGAAATTCGAGAACTAAATGTAACAGAAAAAATAGTAGAAAGAAATCAAGTTTTCAAGAAATTCGGTTATCTTATTTCCAAAATGAAACATAACAAACTTTTATCATTAAGTCAATCTTTTTTGGAACTCTGGTTCAAGGAGAGAGATTTCAATCAATGTAATGAAACTGAGTCTATTTTTTTGGCTCCGCGACGTTTCGAAAAACGACGTTTCGAAAGTGTGACGTTTCGCAAGTGTGAAGTTTCGCAAGTGTGACGTTTCGCAAGTGTGACGTTTCGCAAGTAACAGCTTTGCACTTTTATGCATGAAAGAAAAAGCAAAAACTTGTATTTGAGTATTTAAATGGTTTTTCGAACAGAGCTTTGTATATTTGAAGCTGTTTCACACATTTTTCGATTTGTTTCATAAGCGTGACGTTTCGAAAGTGTGACGTTTCGCAAGTGCGACGTTTCGAAAGTACGGCAATTAATGCTTTGTAAGCTTCAAATATACAAAACTTTATTCGAAAAACAATTTAAACACTAAAATACAAGTTTTTGATTTTTCATTCATGCAAAAAAGCGCAAAACTGTTACTTCCGAAACGTCGTACTGAAGAAACAGAAAAAAAATCATTAACTTTTTTGAAGTTAATTTTTCATTAAAATATTGTTTTCATAATGCTTATATTACGATCAAGATTTTAAAAATTAATATTGACAGAACGAATCCATTTGAAATCTTATAAAGTGGCGTCATTACTGTCAGTAATTAATTGCTGTTTCTTTAAGGTTGTGAAACATGAAAAAAAATTTCTTCGATTTGACGTTCAGACTATTTAATAGGAAATTTGAAACTTTTGGTGAAAATATTGAAGATGCAGCGCTGTTACCCACTGAGCTACACTGTCGCAACCCCAATCGCGTAGCTAGTTTATTTTTCATTTTTCAACAAAAAAATTCAAAAATTCCAATTCCAAATTCGCTGCCGATAATCATCTGTCTACTCTCATTTTCCGTTTTCACCCCTTTGCCTTTTGCGTTACAATAATAATAATAATGAAAAGAAGAAGAAGAAGAAGAGGAAGACAAGATTGATCACAGCCCAGAATGATCGGTTATTTCCGATGACCCGGATTTTTCGTCGAAATTTAAAATTTTTGACAGATTTCCGAAAATTGAAAATTGAGATGATTCTGGGGGATATTTTGGCAAAGAAACTCACATTTAACAACACCTTGAAGTTGCTTGGGCTTACTGGAAACTGCAAATTCTTCCTCGTCGGATGCAGCGTGCTCGTCTTCTGGAAATTTGAAAAGTTATAAAGAATACGATTTTGGACTTTTTTTCGATGTAGTTAGTTTAAGTAAATGAAAAAACACATGAAAAGATTTTGAAACAGAAAAATTGTTTAAAAACTTTTCTGTTTTATGTCGTTTTCTTGTTTAGCTAGTTTTTCTGAACAAATATTCATAACGATACAGTCTAATCTAACTTTACTATTCCAATTGACTAAAAAATAAAATTCAGATAAAAATCTTTTGGTGGATTTCCTACAGTAATCCAATGAGCCGGACAAAAAAATCTCCAAAATTTTTTCAGTGGAAAGTGTCAACTTTGAAGTCCTGAAAAAGGGGTCCAGAATTTTTCAAAAAGGGGTCCAGAATTTTTCGATTTGTCTGAAAATTTCAGAATATACTAAACAAAAATAGAGCTTCAATTATGTAGTGAGCAATTTTTTGTAGGAATTCAAATGAGCGAGATAATGAGGTTTTAAAGGTGCACAGCTCTCATTTCAATGCTAATTTTGGTATTTTTTGGTTACGAACGACAGATCTCATCAGAATCAAGATTAGCAAAAAAGTTATTGACAGCAAAATTAGAGCTCAATTTTTGTTTAGTATACTCTGAAACTTTCAGATAAACCAAAACATTTTGGATCACTTTCCTAGGGCTTCAAAGTTGATTATTTTCAAAGAAAAGTCAAAAATAAATGTTTGTTCGGTACTATTGTATTTTCAATTTCTTTTACAGTAATCTCAATTTTCAAAATCTGATTTACTACATTTTGGAAACCGGAATATTCATCAAATTATCATAGTTTTAGCTTCATGGAATAGTCAAACGATTTGGAAAAATTCAGAATGTTCGTAATCGCTGTTTCAAAATGATCGTATCTAAATAAGTTTGAAGATTTTTTCCAATGCAAGATGGTAAGATTTTGTTTTTGCATTTTTTTTGTATTTTTTAAAATTTTCAGTTTCATAGAAGCATTTTACAAAAACAGTATTCCTGTCATTTGATTGAAGCTTCCATATTAGCAATAGTTATAGTAACAAGCCTCTCCCCGATTTAAAATTATTTGCGCAAACCCTTAAGCCTCCAAAATCTTGTACTTTTCCCACCAGTCAAAACAAATACGCATTTCTGTTCTTGTTCCTCCTACCAGACACATCTGGTCGTGTCACAAAATGAGAAACATAAGGGATTTCATTCCAAGATGCAATAGCATACCTTCAGTGTTCGCTGGGTCCATTGTCTTGGCGATTTCCGGATGGAACACTTCCAACATGTGCACTTTACACAGAAGTTTTCCTTCGTGAGAGTTGAAGTTTGTGGGTCTGAAATTATGTATTTGAGATTTTTGAAGCTTAAAATTCCCAAAGTTTTGGAATTCAATTTCTCCAAAATGTAATGAAACTATTATTAAAGGAATTTGGTCGTTATGAAATTAGAAAGAACTTGCAACAGTGAAGATTTCGAGCTCAATTATCTCGGTTCTTAAAAGAGATATCAAAATTTTCTCGACTAATGAAATATTTGTCATAATATTGCCAACATTTTTGAAGTTATATAAGCTCAAAGTTTAGGTAGTGGATGACGGTCTATTGGAGGATTCATGGCAAATTCATATAGGTATTGTCTGTTCAAAAAAATCGCGCGGGTGAACAAGTAAAAACACCTGCGTCTCTACAGCGCTTTTACAGGTTTGGACACTCTCTACACGTTTTTTTACTCGTTCACCCGTGCGATTGTTTTGACTAGACTTTGGATTTTAGAAAATTTCGTTTGAACCCGATTTGTTTTTCCATGAAGGTATAAAACAATGAAAATAGGAAAATGTGAAAGTTATAACTTTTCAGATTTTCATAGTACCTCTGATTACAATAGTTTCCAATAATACATGACTGCTCCCAGCAACAGAAAGCGATAATAAAAAAAGATATTCGAAGCCACCGAAAAAGAAAATAGTTTTAATAAGACTGGACAACGTTTTTTAAAATAAATTTTAGTGCTCCTAAATATAATCGAATTTTCAAAAGGGGAAAGATTTGAAAAAATGCAAGTTAAATTACTAGCGATACTGAAATTATTCAGCAAGTTTTATTTAAAAAACAAGAATAATCTGAAACACGAATAAATTTGGGCTTATTAAAATACGAAAAAAAAAGTTTCAAAAATTATTGTCTAGAACTATTACACTCAAAGCAACTTCTAAAAATTTCACAACTATTTGAAACATTGAATATATGTTTCCAAAAAGACTCACGTCAACTTCTTGGCACACTTGCAGCACTTGAAGCATTGAATATGGTACAAATTCTTGTTAGCCACAACCTTCTCCACTGGATAGACAACTTTATCGCAAATGCAACAATTCTTCTTTTCCTCCTGTTTCACTTCCTGAAATGCTGCCTTCATTTTCGAAAGATCTGCACTTCTTTCAATGTCCACCGCCGTTTTCTCGACAATAATGTCGCTTTCTCCCTTTTCGAATCTGAAAAAATGTGATGTTGAAGCATTTTTGTTTTGGATTTAGAAGCTATGCATCATCGGAGCATTTTAAATATCGAAAATCTTGAATAGTTTAGACTTTTGAAATTGATTTGAAAGTGAACGAATTATAATCCCACTGGAAAAAGACGAAAATAAATCCAAATTAAAAATGGGATTCGGAAAACAGCAATAATTTTGGAAAATACCGAAACTATGATGAAAGTAAAACAAATGTCTTTTGGGACGCCTCAAACCTAGAAACCTTTTTCGAACTTTCAGAATTTTTACTTCAACATTTCTGGTTTTTTTCCTGAAATTTCAGAATTTTTGGATCAAAAAGAAAGATTTGCAAATTCGGCGCAAATACCAGCTCCACAGGGGTCTTAAATGAAAAAAAAACTTTAAAGCATGTATGTTTCTAATAATCCATTTTAAAGTTATATTTTGGATTTTCGATTGAATTGTAAACAATGAAAATATTGTTTCAATAAAAACAAAATTTTCTGCTTCTGTTACATTTTATAAAAATGTGATTTTTGAAATACAAACATTTGCATTCATTTATCTCGATTCCCGTAAAATTCATCAAAATTTTGTCAACTAATGAACTGTTTATCACAACACCAGCAACATTTTATTAGTTGCCAACTTTTTGATATCTCTTACAGTAACCCAGATAAATTGAGTCAAACCTCCAAACCCCCTTACCTCTCCTTGGCACTAGCCAACGTATCCTTTCCAAGTCCACCAATTTGCTCTTTCTGCATTCTCTTCAATTTTTGCTCCAAGTCCTCTTCCATTGTAGAATCAATATTCTCGAATTTGGTTTTGAATTTGGAAAACTTCTCCTGTCCAATTTCAGTCAATTTTTGGCGTTCTTCAAGGCGAGCTATTTTTGTGTCCTCATCCTCGTTTTCAATGTTATGGACAGCGCCGGTTTCAAAGTCCTAAAAAATGGGTACAAGATGAGAAAAATGAAGAAATTGTTAGGGAAATCTAGAAAATTTGAAACCGGAAATTTTTGTCAGGGATTTAGAAGAATTGATTTTGTGAAAAATTAGAGCTAATTTCCGAAGTTAAAAAATTTTTCGAATTGCTTTAAAACTGGGATATAACGAAAAACCAAAAGTTAAATGAATAATTCAAAAAAAGCTGACACATTCAAAAAATCTGCTAATTTTGAATCCTTTCAAATTTCTGGAAAATCGAAATTTTTTGAATATTCAAAAATTCGTTTTTTAAACACAGAAAATTTAGGATGTCTCGATATTGCAATTTTTCAAAAACCTGGAACATATCTGAAATCAAAAATATGTCTAAAATTCAAAAATATTTGGAAATACGGAAATGGGAAATTTCGAAATTTGAAAAATTGAAAAATACGATATTTTTGAAATTCCAGAAAGGGAATATTTGAAGCTCAAAAAAATGTTTCATAAATCCGAAAATCTGGAATAATAAAAACCTGAAAAATTAGGAAATATCACAATTCTCTAAACATCGATATTCTGGAACTAAAAAAAATAGAAAATTCTCAAGATGGCCAAGATTCATGATCACATCTTCGTAAAACAAATAAAGCAATACAATTACATGAAACTAAAAAAAAATTCGAAAAATAAAATTATGTTATAAATGGTTTAGATTTTCTATTTTTCAAAGGAATTTCTGTTCCTAATGTACTTTCACTTTCTGATTTATAGATTTAGAAAAACTTGAAATAGGTTTAAAAATCGGTTTATCTATAAAAATGTAGTCTTAAAACTTTCGTTCCAAAACATTTGTCAATGAAACTTCATTTTTTTAAATTTTGTTTCAACATTTTCTTCATCTTCCTTCAGCTTCTTTCTACATATTTACTCAATTTTCTTTCTCCAAAATTTTCAAACTTCTAAAATCTAGAATATCTCGGAAGTCTAACATATTTGACCATATCGAAACTTCTGAAAATCTTGAGATTCTAAAAAAACATCGGAAGTACCGAAGACACCACATCACAAAAATTAAAAATTATATGAAACCGAAAAAAAATGTTACAAATGGCTTAGAATTTTCCATTTTTGAGGGATGTATGCTTCTGAAGTTTTTTTAAATTTCACATTGATTGATTTTCAAAAAATTATTAAAAGATTCAAAAATCGGTGTCCTCTGTGAAAGTGTAAAATTAAAGACAAACAGAAGAGCTCCGAAAAAAGTTTTCTTCCCAAAAAAATGAGTCAATGAAATGCATTTTTTCAAATTTTTTTGATTTCTCAATGTTTTATTATTTTTTCCCAAAAAATGCCCCACCTTTTTCATTTTCTTCAACTCGTTATTTCCTGACTTTAGCGCCGCCAATTCCTCTTCTCTCGCCTCATCCTTCACGGGTCCTTTGTTTTCGAACAAAGCGGATTTCTGAAGAAAATAAACAAGCTAATTGAAAAATAATGGAAAACGGGGAAATAAGGAAGCAGCTGTTAATTGGATCATTTTTTGGGAGTGATTGATTGAAAGGTGGTTGGGTTGCAACTTGCAATAGAAGAGGATTGATAAAGTGATAAGGAAGAGAAAGTGCCAAAGAGAAAGATTACTATAGAGGCTGAGGAAAACTTACGGTTTGATCGGAGAGTGCTTCTCGCTAAAAATAGTCACAATTGATTATGAGCAAATTACTAATTTTGTTTTTAAAAATGTGAGGATAACAATGTTGTTGTGAAATGGAAATTATATTTTAGTGTTTCAAATTCTGTATTGATGTTTTTTGGTTTTATCAGAATTGATACTTTATTACTTATCATTGAAACATACTAATTTTCATGACTAAATCACTTAATTTCGGTTAATTTTTGAAGCAAAAATTTTGAAAAAAACGTAGATTTTTTAATGAACTATACAGTTTATTACTAATTATTTCAAAATTACTCGAAAATTTGAGAAATTTGTAAAACTGTAAAACTCCTATCTTCTTATTATAGATTGGACTTTTATAGGCAAAATTTCAGAAAAACAAGATACTTTAATAGTTTTGAGTTTTCAATTTTTGAAATATAAAAATTTCAACTTTCCCATTTTAGACCATTCTATTTGTTCTTAGCAATATATGATCTTCTAAAGCATTTCAGTTCATTTTCAGTACACACGAACCTGATTTTTCATTATTTGCTTTAAAACGTTTTTTTTTCTTTTTGTTTTGTTTATTTTCCCGGTCACCGGAGCCAAGATATCCTAAGGATCTAAAGATCCCCCATTCTTCTAAGTGTTGTTTATTTCTCACTTAATCTATTGGTCTAGTTTTTTTGTTTTTTTTTGTTCATATTGAACTGAACTGGTTCAAAAAAAATTAACTGTTTCTCAAAGTTCAGGTAATTTGAGACAGCTTTACTTTTTCAATCAATGTAGGAATTTTTGTTTAAGAATTCTAGATATTTCAATTTTTCTACTCACCAACTGCTTCAAATCTCCACTTCTTCCCTCGATCTTGATCGGTTTCTTTGGTCCCTCATCTTCGGATTCCGAGGAAGAAAGTGCGTATGGATCCTCTTCTTCTGTCATGTTTGTATGAAAATTTGAGGTTTTCTGGGGTTTTCTGAAAAAAAAAGACAGCTCTAAAAGTAAAGAAATGGAGAAAAATACAGACGGGGAAAGAAGAAACAGTGAATAATGTATATCATTAAATCGTTTCATCAAAGTGTTGAAACAGATATAGAAGTGTGAAAATGAACCTAGATTTTTAGATAAAAATTAATGTTTCAAACGCTCTTTGAAATAACTTGACGATTCTTCAAAAACTAATGTTTGTTTTTAACGAAATTTATAATAATTGAGGCTAGTAAAAGTGAATAACTTAATATTTGCTTCGGCACTATTTATCAAGCTATTCTGATGTTTTGTCTTATAAATTTGAATTAGTATTTATTTTTTTAAAATATACCGTTAAAATTTATCAATTTCTCAGTTTTTCGAATTTTATATTTTTCTGATTGAGGTGAAAAAAGAATACTAATGCCAGAACAATTGTTTATCATGAACCTGGTTCAAATTTAACATAAAAATTTAACAGTAAAAATATTATACTTTTTTTTCCTATTTTCCGGCTACTTTCCAAATTCTCGCAATTGTTCTAAAAACATCAAAACTTGAAATGTCTCTAGTATTTTGCAGGGGCAGTAGTTGATTATTTTTCAATTACTGCTTTTTTTTATCTTACAAATCTGAATCAGTATTCATTTTGTTAATTAATTTTTTAGTTTTTAAATTTCATATTTTTCTGATCTAGATAAAAATTTTCAAAAACAAAATTTTGGTATGTTTTCATTGTTTTTCATAAAAATGGTTCGAATTTAAAATAAAAATGAAATAGTACCAATTTTAACCGCATTCGAGAATTTTAAGTCCAGATTATATATTTTTAGTCTACCGTAAAACCTCAATAGAACGACACCCGGTATAAAATTAGATATACGTTTTCTCGAATGCTTTAGTTAGCAACGTGTCACTCAGCAAAATTTTCTCTCTGACGATATGCTTCATCAGAGAAGTGATTGATCTGAAATGTTTCTTTTTTTTCATCTTTAATTAAAAACCTACCGAAACCAAAAATTTGTTTCTCGAACAGAGTAGATAACGAAGTTCATATTCTGTTGGCAATAGATTGACTTTGATATAATTGCCCCAGAACTTGATACATAATAAATTGTAGCAACTCGAGACGCGTTTTTCTTGATTTCGTCGTGTTTTTCTTGATTCCTTGAAACCAAGAACGTTCCCTCTGTTGAAGATCTAAGAATTTCAAATGCGTCGCCGTTCTCAAGCTTTTCATAAGCCCAGATTTGCTTTCTATCCAAGTCTTTGTAATATGCTGAAAAAGTAAACTATTACTAAGTACAAGTCATTCGGATATTACAATTTTCGGCGTTCTTCTGTCTTTCAATATA